AGAGGACTAGAGTACAACTCAGTGAGTACTTGTAGCATGTGTGAGGCTCTGGGTTGGGTCCTGAGCACTGCAAAAAAAGCAAGCAAGGACAAAAAAAAATGGAGAGAAACTACTTGCAGCATACATATAAAAGTAATAAAATCCAGAACATATAAATAACCTTTATAAATCAACTAAACAGAAACCCACTATAAAAATGAGCAGTGGAGCAGATACAATGGCATTAATCTGTACTCAACTATTTGGAAGCTGAGGAAGGAGGAATGCAAATTCAAGGCCACTCTGGGCAACTCAAAATAAAAGTCAAAAAGGACTAGGATGTAGTTCAGTGAGCCTTGATTTGTTCTCCAGAACTGGAGTGTGTGTGGGGGAGAAACAGTGATTTTTATCAGAAGAAAAACAAGTCATCCACAGAAAATAAAATTGCACATAACTAGTAAAGTATAGCTTAAAATTCAATGAAAGGCTTTGGGAGCCTTGTATCAGCTGTGGATTTTGGTTGAGCCATTAAGACAGGGAAGCTGCTTTTCTGGGAACTCCTGGATGAAATTCCCAGGATAGCAAAAGCCCAGATCATCCTGGCTCCATACCTCAGCTCAAATCCCCAGGTTCAAACAAGGCAGTCAGTTGGGAGATGGGCGGAACCTGAAAAGCACCAAAAAATGTGTTTTTTCCCCCACATTCTTATCCTGTTTTTTCCACATTCTTATCCTGTTTTCTCCTTACTATCCCCCTTGGTCTGTACCGCTATAAATAAAGCAAGTCCAGATTTTTCTCTTTGTTAGGATCAGACCCATCAGGGCTATCCACCTGTCCAGCCCTTGCTTTTTAATAGATAATTCTTGTCTTTGTCTTTAATTTCTCTTTTTTTTTTGTAATTTTTTTTTTTAAGTTGCAGTTGGACACAGTACCGTTATTGCTGAGGATCGAACCCAGGGCCTCGAACATTCTAAGCGAACGCTCTACCGATGAGTCAATATCTAAGCCCCTAATCTCTTAATATTACTTTCATAGCTTTTATTTCCCAGCCGGCCCACACATCTGACAGTTACGCACTCCCTCCTCATGCAGGATGCGGGCAGAAAAAGTCATCTTTTATTCTTCAGATTGGCAAATGAAGAATTTTCTTTCTTTTTCTTTTACTTTTTTTTATTTTAGTTGCAGATGAATACAATACCTTATATTTTATTTTTTGTGGCACTGGGGATTGAATCCAATCTGGGTGTCCTGACACTGCAAGGCACTCTACCAACTAAGCTATCTCCTCAGCCGCTATTTTATTTATTTTTGTGTGGTGCTGAGGAAGCGCTCTACCAATGAGCTACAACCTCAGCCCAATAATTTTGTTTTTCTTAAAATTAGTTGATGCAGGTATGGGAAATGGAGTCCACCATTTGTAGCTGGTCGAGTATAACCTGGTTTATTTGCTCTCTTGGGAGGGCAATTTGGCCACATCTGATAAATACACACACCTTGGATCCAGAAGTTGCAATCTAGTGCTGGACAGGATGAATGGTTACTTTATCACAATACATCCATAAAAAGGAATCCAGGAGCTTGGGCTGTGGCTCAGCGTAGAGTGCTTGACTACCACTGTGTGAGGCCCTGGTTCCTCAGCACCACATTAAAAAATAAATAAAACAAAAGAATTGTGCCCAACTATAACTAAAAAATAAATATTAAAAGAAAATAAGGAAACCAGCACAATCCAAAGGAGCTAGATCTGGGTGTCCTGACACTGGAAATATATGTCTGAGATACTTCATAATACTGCTTAAAACCCAGCAAGTTTATTTTTTGCTTCTGATATTTATGTTATGTTTCTAAATGATAATATCAAAGGTTTAGACTGCTGTTTGCAAGTAGTTTTCACAAATAATACCTTTGGGATTGGGTTGGCTTTATTCTCAGTACATGAGAACACAAATAGCATTGTAGCTGCTTTTTTATTTTCCTAGCTTTGGCTTCTCAGTGATATCTGAATGTGTTCTATATGAAGTTTGATAAGACAAATTTAAATTTCTGTAAAAAAAATTGGTAACAATCTTGGGCAGGGGCTGTGACTCAGTGGTAGTACACTTGCCTGGCATGTGTGAGGCACTGGGTTTGATTCTCAGCACTGCATATAAATAAATAAGGGTCTATCAACAACTAAAATAATACTAAAATTTTTTTTGATAACAATCTTTTTTTTTAAGAGATAGGAGAGAGAGAGAGAGAATTTTTTAATATTTATTTTTTAGTTTTCGGCGGACACAACATCTTTGTTTGTATGTGGTGCTGAGGATCGAACCCGGCCGCACGCATGCCAGGCAAGCAGGCTACCGCTTGAGCCACATCCCCAGCCCCACTGATAACAATCTTAAGGCAAATTAAGAGCTTTTTGTGTTGTTAATTAATTTCCCACCAAATATTATAAGTAATTAATGTAGAATTAAAAATGAAACAGCTTAAAAGTGTGAAATGGTTAAAAACATCTGGGGGTTGGGAAAAGTGAGTTCATCTATAGGTGTCTTCATCTATTCTGTCTTAGTCTGAGTAAAATAAATAAATAAAGTACTTTTATTTATTTATTTTGGTACCAGGGATTGAACCCAGGGATGCTTTACACTGAGCCACATCCCCAGTTCCTTTTTTTTTTGGTGACACAGGGTCTCACTAAGTTGCTGAGGCTGGGGCCTTGTACCTGTTGTGAGCTTCCTGCCTCAGCCTCCCGAGTTGCTGTGATTGTAGGAGTGTGCCACCATACCTGACAATTAAAAAAACAACAACAAACAATAATTTATAAATGACTACAACAAAGGCTTATTGTTCACAGTGCTGGAGGCTGGGAAGTCCAAGTTCAAGGCACCAGTAGATTGTCTGATGAGGGCTCACTCTTTCTGCTTCAAAGATGGTGCTATTTCCTGTGGATGTTGCTCAGTGGTAGAATACTTGCCTAGCATGCTTAAGGCCAGGGGTTACATCTCCAGCACCACAAAAAGTGGGGTGGGGGAGATGGTGTTATTGTTCTGCATCTGCACTTGGTGGGAGAGGTCAGGGAGCTCCTGAAGCCCCCCTTTTAAGGGCACTAAACCCATTCAAGGGGTCAGAGCCCTCATGACTTAATCACTTCCCAAAGTCTCACCCTCTTAATACTGTCATTGGGTATTAGTTCTAGCACATGAAGTTTAAGGGGAAGTCAACAGTCCCACCCTACAAAAGCTCCTATGCCTGAGCTCCACACACATTCACCACTGACTATTACTTTAAAGGTAAACTGAAGCTACATTTCTCCTCCCACCAAGAGGAGAAACCTGTGATTTTAGCTTCATTCAATTTTGGCTAATGTGAAAAATGCTTTGAAATAGGCAACAAAGGGGAGAATGACCCCATAATATTCTAAAAGAAGCCCCATCAAAGTGTTGTGAACAAGAGGAACACGAATTTATTTAGAAGATGGGATGTGGAGCGGATGAAGTGGCAAGAGGGTCCTTCACAAGGAAGTTAAACCCTCAAATTGTAGAAGTACGTTTAGTTTCAAGAAGTGTTAGGACTGGGGATGCAGCTCAGTAGTAGAGAGCTTGCCTAGCATGCACAAGATCTTGGGTTCCATCCCCAGCACCAGCCACAGAAAAGGAAAAAAAAAAAAAAACCCAAGTGTTAGAAAACCAAGGACAGCAAGAGGGAAACTTCCTTCCACAGTACTCAGCCTCCTTCCCAGCAGCAGATAGCCCACACCCTGCCTTGCCCCTCTGCAGAGATCTGAGTAGGTTCCCTGGAAAAAACTTAACAAGGACAGATGGCTGTGAAATTTTCAAGGCACCAAAAGGAACTGGGAAATGAATGGACCTAGTGAAGAAACTAACTGGATGGGCCTCAAGAGGGGAGGGAAAGAGGTGGAACCTCCACTATAAGATCCAATTCCTTGTTGAAAGGATGGATCCATAGGGTAGAGCAAATCAGGCCCAACTTCTACTTTCCCCTAACCCCAATCTTCCCAACTTTCTAAGGTTTTAGGACATTGATTAGGTGAAAAATTGCTGATTTTGATGATATAATTTGAGTACAATGGGTGAAGAGGTACCTGGCCTAGTGAGGATTGTCTCCCACCCATTCTCTAGCCAGAAGTGGTCAGTGTCTAGTTCTTACTTGGAACACATCAATGAGTTGTTGTTGCCTCCAACCAAAGAAAAGAGCCAAAAAAAAAAAAAAGATAATAAAGATTTGAACATATTGAGCTTAAGTAACTTGTGGGTCAACCAGAGGGAATTGTCTTCATGAAAGGAGAAAAGCATGAGCTGGGGGTTTGGATGGAAGTGAATGAGGTCATCCAAAGAAAGCCTGCAGAAGAAGAGAGGGCTGTGACAGAGACTAGAGGACACCAATATTTCATAGTGTCCCACCCACGAGGGACAAACCTCACAATTTGATGAAGTCAGTTTTATTGACCCTTTGTAATGAGACAGACAACACACCAAAGGACCCCCGTGAGCATTCCATCAAAGATAAAAGGAAAAGTTACTTTCCTTATTATTATTGTAGGTTTGAGAGAGGGACATAATTAGGTAAAGTTTGTTTTTTATTTTTTTACAGTTTTATTTTCATTTCACCCAAAATAGGCACTCATATAAATTTACTTAGTAAAAATTTTCATACATAGGAGTCCAATAACTTGACTAAGTTTGAACTTGTGATATAAAATTCACTACCTAGTTTTTTTTTGGTTTTTTTTTTTTTTTTTTTTTGGTGTTGGTGATTAAACCCAGGGCCTTGTGTATGCAAGGCAAGCACTCTACCAACTGAGCTCTATCCCCAGCCCGCTACCTAGTTTTTAAAGAGAGAATTTTATAGAGAATGAATCCCATTTCTCCAGTTTCTTCCTCAAGGGTAGTTTCTATAAATGAAAAAAAAACAGTTTGACATGATTTTCTGATGATAATTCTACCTAAGAACTTATGAGAATATTATTTCCCTAGATTAATATAGCAGCTTCTTTTTTTTTCTTTTAATATGGACTGCTTCATATGTCATCCTTGTGCAGGGGCCATTGTCATTCTCGTGCAGGGGCCATGCTATCCTCTCTGTATCATTCCAATTTTTAATATATGTGCTGCTGAAGCAATCACAGTATGGCAGTTTCTTGATTGAAGAATTATACTTGTTATTTTCCTTGTTGCCTTCTTAGAAACAAGTATACATTTTTAGTACAACCAACTTTTATTTTTCCATTGCCCCTAAGTTTAAAAATATTCACATTATAATAGTTCACAGAGTTCTACAGTTAAATAGTTTCAGTCATTTTCTATCATAACCAAGGCAGACTCTTTTTTAAAAATTCTTTCAGAATCCATTTAAGCTGTCAGCATCATATACACAGTAAGAACAGCTGCATAGAACCATAAATCTATTTGTCAACCCTTGGATCTTACTATACATACATATAGCTAGATATGTGGAAACTCCAGGGAAGTGCTCCAAAGAGGCAGCCCTCCCAATTTTGAGGTGGAGCTATCCTTCACAATGAAAATCAGTTATTCCCTGTCCCTTGTTTATTGTGAGTTTGTGACTTCTCCTGGAAGAAGCCACAACCTATGTCACAGGCCCACGTTGAGAGCAGGCTGTGTCCTGTCCTACCCATTCCCACTTTTGACATCATTCTGGCAAAGAACATACCCCTGGAGGTGATTTTGTGAAAAGTATAGCAGAAGTTTCTGTTCAAGGAGGCACAGGCAATGGGATTGACAACTGAATTGGCTATAACAGGAGAATGGCCATGTCCATTACCCACTTGGGTTTATCCTTAGCCCAAAATGCTGAAAAAGAATGACACAGTTGATGGCATGTCCTAGTAGTCAGCACAGAGCAAAACTCCCACAGTCAAGGTCTGTGACATGGCAGTGTTATCTCCTGATGGACAGTGGTCCTCTAGTGGCCCATCAGCTTGGTGTGCTGACTGAAGCTGCATGCAGGCCACCATAAAGACCTTGATGTTGATTAGCAACATTATGAGCACTGAGGGCAGGACACAGCCAAAGAAATTAAAATATTAGGGATGGGGTTGTGGCGCAGCAGTAGAGTGCTCACCTCGCACATGTGAGACCCTGGGTTCGATCCTCAGCACCACATAAGAATAAATAAGTAAAATAAGGTTAAGAAAAAAATATATATATATATATATATATATATATATATATATATATATATATATATATAAAATTAATGAGGACCATATTCTTAAAGAGCAGCAACTTTCATCTTTAGTTCCATCTTGGGACTTTGCAGTTGGTGGTACTGTCTTTACTGTTCCACCCTAGGAATGAAGTCAATCCAAAGCTAAAGGCAAAGACCCAGAAGACAGCAAAAACCATCTTCCCTCTGCTCAGGACCTAGTGACTAAAATTATACACCCAAGTGGGACACAGATAGGTGCCTGTCAACAGCCACAGCCAGGAGGTTGAAGGGGAAGCTCTGAGCATGAGCAACAAGCAGGTGAGGAAGACAGCTGCCAAAGTCAGTAGAGCTCAGGCTGATGGTGATAGCAAAGAGAATAACTTTGACTAGAGAGGGACCAGGAAGTAGTTGGCAGTCACCTGCAGCCACTCAACATGCCCACTACTGTGCCCTCCAGCACAATGCCCACTATATGCAGCCTGTCCACACTTCCAGCAGCATGACCCAGCACCTCCACCTGGCCTTAGTCAACCACATCTGGACAGTAGGTGATATACTCAAGCAAATCAGAGCCATGTATAAAGGGGTCAGCATCAGTATGAACTGCTAAGTGGATGCAAGGTGCTGTTTCCTTGGAAACAATGAAGTTAATATAGGTAGATTTCTTTAGAATTTTATTTATTTATTTTGGCAGCCCTGGGGATAGAACTCCAGGGTACTCTAACCACTGAACTATATCCCCAGCCCTTTTTAATTTTATTTTGAGACCAATCTCACCAAATTGCCCGGGTTGGCCTTGAACTTTGATCCTCCTGCTTCAGCTTCCCAAGTGTGTGGGATTACAGTTTTGGGCCACCCAGACTGGTTAGAGTACAACACATGTTCAGAAACCCCTTATCTCAATCTCTGCCCCTGGGTGTAAATTCTGTCCATTTAGTGAGTTAGATCCCCCAGGCAAGAGTTTCATTCTTGTTTAAACAATTCAAACAGCTGTTTCCAATAGCCTATAATTTTAGAAAACAAGGCTGCTCAGTTAAGTAAGGAAGAAGTAGTCACTTAAAGCAAAGGGTTTTTAGGACATTTTTATGATTGTGGTATGTATTTAGGAAAAATATTTCTTGTTAATTTTACCACCTTCAGGCAGGTGGCGAACACCTGTAATCCCAGGAGTTCAGGAAGTTGAGACAGGAGGATGGAGTTCAAAGTCAGCTTCAGCAATGGCAAAGCGCTAAGCAATTCAGTGAGACCCTATCTCTAAATAAAATACAAAAATAGGGCTGGGGATGTGGCTCAGTGGCTGAGTGCCCCTGAGTTCAATCCCTGGAATTAAAACAAACAAACAAACAAACAAACAAACAAAAAACCACCTTCTATTTGTCTGTTATTTCAGCCTGATGAATAGCAGGGCAGATTTTTATAGTCCAAACTAATTTTGAGGTTTCCAGGGACAAAAACTGAGGAGGGAGCTGCAAACTGATAAGCACACTGAATGTCAGACCACAAGAAACTAAAACAGGAGCCTCACAAACGCAGGGGGCAGGGTGACTGTTAGTATACAACAGGTCCAGGTCTGGTTTGCTGAGCTGACCAATATGGTAACCCTACTGACGGCTATCCACTTAAGCTTACATTAATTAAAAGTTAATTAAGAGGGCTGGGATTGTATCTCAGTGGTAGAGTGCTTGCCTAAAACGTGTGAGGCACTGGGTTCGATCCTCAGCACCCCCTTTATTTATTTATTTTTTTGTTTTTTGTGGTGCTAGAGATTGAACCCAGGACTTTGAGTGTGCAAGGCAAGCACTCTATCAACTAAGCAATATCCCCAGCCCCTCAGCACCATATTTTTAAAAAATACAATAAAGGTATTGTGTCCATCTACGACTAAAAACAAAAAATACATTAATTTCAAAATGAATTCAATTAAGTACAAATTTGAATTCATGCATGGCATTTATCCACATGTCAAGTGTTCAGTAATCACAGATTAATGGCTATAGTATTGAATAACACAGATAAAGAACATTTCCATTATTGCAGTAAGATGATAATTGAGAGTGCAGTCTCCGAGGAGTGATGGGGAGGGGGCCCTGTGGGAGTTGCAAACTAATGGGATGTATTCTAAGACACATCCTTAGCAATGCTTGTGCTATCTATGCGAATCCGCCACTCGAGGTTCAGAGCCTGAGGTTCGTTTGCAGAACCCCAGTAAGGTCCCCAAACTCTAATCTCCCAACAGGCGGCGGGTCCTTCTGCGACTCTGACTCTTGGACTTCTGGGAAACGTAGTCATTACAGCGTCCCAGCCCCAGGAAGGTCCTAGCCGCGAACTACAGCTCCCATGCGGCGGTGCTTTGAGGTTCCGGTGGGATTGACTACGGTCTCGTGCCTGCGGCGGTGGATGCTAGGATCGACACCTGAGGTTCAGTGGAACGACTGAGATGCTGAAAACAGGGTGAGGAGGAGATAGTGATCACTCTGTGTCTCCTGTCGCTCCTAACATCTCCGCCGCTCTGGGGCTGTGTGCGCCCCAACCTACGCGGAGCCGACTGAGTCCCCAGGGAGCCGTGGTGACAGAACGGCCACAACCGCTAGGGGGACTGGAGCGCGCAGGCTCTAATCTGAGGAGGAAGAGCAGCCGGAGGGTTCTGGCTTGGCCGGGAGGCTGGAAGCGCACGCGCAAATGCAGGGCCTCGAGGCGTCTGTAAACACTGAAGGGCGCCTGCGCAGTCGGAGCGTCTAGGGATCGACGCGCGGGGGCGCCAAGAGAAGAGCAATTAAGTAGTAATGTAGCGGTCCAGTCATCTTTCTGCAGCCTTTTATGATTTCCCAAACACAGCCCCTCTCATTGCCTCTCCTAATTAGATCCTCACACTGTCCTTTTACAAATGGGACAAATCAAAGAAAGCCACACAGCAAGAGTCCCAGCATCACAGAGAGTAAAGGACCAGGGAAGGACCAAGATTTCAGGGCTCTAATCCAAGCTTTGCCTTTGATTTGCTGTGTGACTTGGGTATTTTTGTTCCCTTGGGAACCTAAGCTTTCTCATTTATAAGTGGATTAGCTTGTTGGGATAATCAAAGGAGATCCAGGGATGAAAATGAAATTCCTAAGCAGTCCATAAAAGCAAAAGATTATTATAGTAAGGTGATTGCAGACTGAGGGACCCATTTCCTCTTTCTACAACTTGCAAAACTGAGAGTGCAAAAAGGGGTAGGGGCTTGCCTCAGGTCTGAGCAGCCTGTGAGCAAGAGTGAAACCCAACCCTCCTACTTTTGGGCCTGGAGCCCTTCCTTGAATCCAAAGGAGCAGTGTGTCTTTGTTGGATATAGGTATAGAGAAATAAACTGTTTCCCTGAGGGCCTGGGCTTCTGCACAATGGCCTACTGGAGGAGTGTCCTGCTCTGTTGAGGTGACCACCAGAAGCAGGAAACTGAGGAGGATCAAGAGAATCCTGGGGGAAAAGAACAGTGTTGCTGAAGATGTAGAGACCTTGCTTCTTAGAACTTGATAAAGGTGAGAGCAGGAGCCCAGTTGTGACAGATGATGTGTCAGTATTAAGGGGACAGATTAAATAGAAAGGAATGGTAGGACTTGGACTCTGTTTTTGAGCTTAAGAGGCTCAGATGACTCCAGTTGGGCCAGTGGCAGCTGGAGGTGATACACCAGCTGGCCTGGGTGGTGAGGAGAGGAAGTGATGCACATTGAGGTGAGGCTGTGGGAGCCACTAGTACAAATGGAAGAGAGGTGGTACCTTGCCACCTGCAGGATCATGCAGCTGCTCAACAGGGAAGTGAACTTTTCTCTGTCTCTTGTAGCAGTAGAGCTGGGCTGTACCCAGCTGTTTCCCTCTGGAGAGCTCTTAGAGGTTCTAGGGATAGGTTGAGGTAAGAACTGGGAGATCCTGAGGTTTGATTGCTGTTTAAACCTCCTCAGGCAAGTAAGGCAATTTGGCTATTTATAGAAATAGGAAATCCAAGATCCTCCCCTCTTTCAAGTATCTAATTCTCTGGGCCTTCACTTGCTTCTGTTTTTCAGCCAGGGAAACTGAGACTAAAGAAGAAAAAGGACTCTCTTAAGGACACATAGGAGTTGGGGGACAAGTAGACTAGAATAGGGATTTTTTTCATCACATAGTAGTAATAATGACATCAAACATTTATTAGGTATCTAATGTATACTCTAAGAAGGGCTTCCTTGGGGTAGCAAATGGAAACCAGAATTGCAGTCAGACCTGCCTGGTTTTTCACCAGCCCTCCCAGTGATTCTGGGTGAGTCACTGCCCCTCTCTGAGCCTCCAGTTGTTCTGTAAAGTGGAGGTGGTAAGCCTTATCCAGGGCTGTCTTGAGGTTTAACTATAAATTAAGTTAAAACCTGTTTAGTGCACAGAACAGCAATAGGCACATAATAAGCACTTAATAAACACTGGCCACTGTTGTTCCTCGGGAAGACAGGTTGAGGCAGGCTGCAAATGGTTTTTCTTCCAGCAGACATGCAGCATCCCCAGGTCTGCCCATGTCCCTAATTCCTCCATACCATGCCCCTCACACTTCTGGAAGCCACGGGGAGACCCAGGTCCCCATATTCTCCTCTGGCCTCAGAGCCTGGCAAAGAAAGAGATGTCTCCAGTGTTAACATCTCCACATGCATTCCCCACACCTGAGGCCCAGAGTTGAGACAATTCTTTCCTGAAGTTGTATGTTACATGCCTGGACAGACCAGAACTGACCCTGGGATCTCTCCAGCCCCTTTAGGGTAGGGGGTTGTACCTGACTTCTCTTCCCTGCAGGGTAGAAGTCCAAGAAGACTGACAGCAGGTTCTTGACCTGTGTTTCCCCTGAGTGGAGCAGAGATTGGGGGCAAGGAGGAATTTGGGTGGAAAACAGGCCTGCCAGACACCCCACCCCCAGCCCGCCCTGCTTGAAGATGGAAGCCTGACACAGTGGTCATTTCAACTTTGATCCATGATTCACTAATAAAATTCTGGTTGAACCCCTTATTTATAGAGGAGGAAACAAAAGTCTAGCACTGCCAAGAACTCACTGAGAGCCTCAGAGAGGAGGGAGGATTCTGGGTCAGTATATAGCTTTCTGACTTCAGGTGAGGGCTCTGCCCAGCAGATGAATTGGAGTGGGCAGGGCTTTACTTCACCTCTCCTTCCCCTAGTTCTGCTTTGAGCTAGACCTCAATGTGGCCACCCCACCCAGGCACATGAGCTCTAGTTGGGGTTGAGGGAGTTGGGAATGTGGAGACATCAGGGAAGGTGGGGGGGTATAGACAAAAAGAAGGCCAGAGCTGACCTGGGACAAGTGGGAGCAGGGAGCTCTTGGTGTGTGGCTCTTGTGGGATTCTGGGGCCTTATTAATCAGACTGAGGTAGCAGAAGATAAAAATACCGTGGGAGCACACTCCTGGAGGAGGGTAGCAAAGCAGATTCAGGAATGAGTCACAGAGCCCTGGCCCTAAATTTAGAAGGTGCTGAAGGAGGCAGCCTTCCCCTGGGGAAGACTTGGAGATGCCTGCTGACCCAGGTCACCAGGGATTCAGGGCAGGAAGGAGTGGTTGGCAGGAGTTCCCTGAACTGTAGCACTCCATCCTATAGCTGAGCCTGCTAGAGGCCTGTTCCAGGGGTAGGTCAAACCCAGAATGAACCTTAACACAGGACAGAGCCTTCAGTTTCATTCTTAGAGTCCCAGGGAACCCACCCACTCAAACCCTTCACACAGTCCTGAGAACCAGCCTCGTCAGTGAGGACATCTCAGAACCGTGCTGCCCACTGGGTGGGCATGGCCAGGCTCCCTGTGCTGCTCGCGCTGCCATTCTGGTAGCCATTTATCAGACACCAAGGAGAGGAGTGTGGATGTAAGAAGCTAATGCCATTGAGTGAAGGTCTCTCAAAGGGGACCCAGCCAGACCTTTTGCAAGCTCCTCTGAGAATTGAGGATGAGGGAGAGGGAAAACATGTCATCGTATCCACTTTTGCCTTATTCTCAACCCTCCAGGCTCCAGATTAACACAGGTCAGGAGAGGGAGAGGAATCAAGGAGGACATGCTTTGGGGACAGATGCCAGACCTGGGGGTAAGGAAGCTCAGGAGATAAGATAGACAGTTGCTCTGGCATTCATTGAGCACTCAAAGAGCCTCCTCTTCCATCCTCCCTTGCCCATCCTCCAGTCCCTAAAACCGGACCCCTGCACTGAGAAAAGTGCTCTGTCCTCATTCTAATGATGGGAATCCTTGTAGTCCACCCATCTTAGAAGTCAGAGAGCTGGCTGGGCACAGTGGCACCTTATAATCCTAGTGACTCAAGAGGCTGAGGCAGGAGGATTCCCAAGTTTGAGGCCAGGCTTAGCAACTTAGTGAGACACTGTCTCAAAATAAAAAAGATTGGAGGCTGGTCATGGTGGTGCACCTGTAATCCCAGTGGCTAGGGAGGCCAATACAGGAGGATTGCAAGTTCAAAGCCAGCCTCAGCAATGACGAGGCACTAAGCAACTCAGTGAGAACCTGTCTCTAAATAAAATACAAAATAGGACTGGGGATGTGGCTCAGTGGTCAAGTGCCCCTGAGTTGTATCCCTGGTACCCCTGCAAAAAAAAAAAAAAAAAGATTGGGGATGTAGCTCACTGGTGAAGTGCCCCTGGGTTTAAAAAAAAAAAAAGTGGGACAGCTGAGACACAGAGAGGTTGAGTAATGTTCTAGATCACACACTGAGTAAGGTGTTTTAACCAGACAGTCTGGCTCCCTGGCCCAAGTCATTTTCCTAGACTGCTGAGCTAGGTACTTTACCCCATCTGTCAGGCCTCTTCTTCCATCCTTCTAGGCCCATCCTCCAGTCCCTGCAACCAGAACCCTGGGAGCAGATCTTTAGGGCTATGCAGGATCCTGCTGCCCAGGTTACCCACAGGCTTCAGGAAAGGACAAGTTTAACTGGCCCGCAACACCGCCATGCAAGACTTCACAATTGATGGCATACTCCTTAACTCTGTGGGGGAGGCCTCTTGAGCCCCACCATTCTGACAGGAGTACATCCTAGAGAGGTGCAGTAGGAAGGACTGTAGCAGAACCATAGGGATTCCCTACCAGGGAAGGCCCCAGGCTTGTGCTAGGACTCCTGCTAACAATATCTGTTTGGACCTGCTGTCTGCAAGAACTGAGTTTGATCTCTGGGTCAATGCTGCCTTCTAGAAGCCCTAGAATTTCCTTTCAGAGGTGCCTGATCCATCTGCTGACCTTGAGCCTTCCCCTGGATTTGTGCTCAGGCTAAGAGGGTGGAGGTATCTTGAGTGTTTTCAGGAAGGACAGGTTGTTCAGTCCTTCTGCAGGGTGGATAGAAACTCCAGTCCTGAGACTACAGCCCCTCTCTGACAGCCCACATGACTTCCTTCTTTTGGTTCCTTTTTAATCTAAAACCTGGGCCCTTAGTACTCTGACTCAGACAGTTTCATCTCCTGGA